GGGTGTGATAGTCAAAGAACAAACAAGTCCCCTATTAGAAAAAAGGACACTATTGATTGAGCTGCATCCCTTTTACTCTGGAATTGTTTCATACCCTCTGACGCAAATGAGTTTCCAGGCAATCCCTAGGTGTCCAATACATAGAGAAAAGTCTGTTTGCTTTATGTCTCAGTTTCTTTCTTTTCTGAAGGGCAATAGAAGACCCTTTGGCCTCATAGCTCTTCTCTGCCAAAGTACAATTCATGGCTAGACTTCACAAACGAAGATTTGGGAAAAAGTACAATAGAGCTCGTATTATTTATACATTATGATGGCTTTCTGAACTGGTCTTCACCACACATCTATAGAGAGAAGTAGAAAAGTAGCATCATCCCATATTACTCAGAATCCCAGGACTAGTAGCTGAGAAGATCTTCCCTTAATTTTGTAACAGAGGGTGTATATGTATACATTTTAGTTAAGTTCAAATCAGAATTAATTTCCTGTATAAAAGACATCATTCCTTACACAGGAAGAGCTGCAGGAGGTTCATGGGTTGTCACAAGAGAGGAACAGAGAAGAGTCTGTCCATGCAAAACACAGTGTCTCAGAGGAAACAGGGACCAAGGTGTCAAACACTCTTTTTTATCACAAGAAATATTTAGAAGTTGCATAGTTTTGCTCAGCTTTTAATCAGGGTTTAAGAGTGTTATTTCCTATCTAAAATTCAGACAGACATAATTTAGCTTGTCATCACCCAACAATAGAGCTTGAAAGCTACTAGATAGCAAAAAAATGGATTGATTAATAATAATGTGAATTCTGAACAAGAGCAAACAATTTCACAAGCTGTGGTAATGTGTAGTCTCATGTAGGAAGTCTGATGAGACTACAGCAAACCTGTACCCAAATCTGTAATATTAAATATGGATTTTTTTTTTCTTTCTAGCATTGCATTTTCCAGTATATAGGTGGGAAATAATCCAGAACCTTTGGTCCTCGTTAGAGCAGAGTACCTAACAACGGGCTGGGCTTGGCAAGACAGTCTGAAAGCACATCAGAGATGTGGTATTAAAATGACTTTGAGGACCATACCTAACTGCTACATTGGTTGGATGTGAAGTGCTACATACATTGTTGTCTGGTCTACACAATCTGCAATGGTTGATTTAGTGGACAAAGCTAGAACCTCTCCATATGCAGAGGTGGACTGACAGTAGAGATGATCTGTAAAAATTACAGATAATTAAATACCAAAGCAGGAGCAGAAACAATAAACAGTACCACAGAAATGGAAAGCTAAGTGCCAGGTACAGATGTCTGCTCTGGTAGTGGTTCGCTGCCAATCAAAGCCCATGTCTCCACCCTGGGAGAGCCCAGGGGGGCACCAGAGCTCACCACAGCAGGAGCCAGCAGATCTTGCCAGGTCCCCTTTAGAAAGAAGTAGGAAGAAGAGCACCTTAGTTTGTTTCCAGGAGGCAGAGCACAAGCACAGATAGACTTTGTAATGCCTCTCTCACTTTCTCTGGCAGTCGCTAAGTCTGACTTAGTGAACACTTTTCAAATGGTGGTTGAGGCTGCTTCATATCTCTTGATAGTGACCCACTACAGGAAGGTGGATGTGCATGTAGATAACTATGTAGGATTGTGGACAAGGTGTTCACAGTGATTTTGTTCTTGGAGCCCAGCAGCCTGGATGTTGTTGTCTGGAGAAGGACAAGTATGCACAAGTATGGCAGAAGCCACATGCTTTTGCCAGGAGGCCAAACAGCCAGGAGGCCGGCTGGCAAGCATGGGGAAAGCATGCCTGGGGGGCCATGCTGGGGCTGCCTTTGTCCTGCCTCTGTCCTGCTACATCTGCACAAGGTACCCAAAGTATGCTTTTCCTCCATGTTATGGAACACTCACACTGAAAACTGGAAAGTACAGCTACACAAAAAGCACTTAACGCCCATCTAGTGAAACCACTGCCTTTTTGCTGACATAATTTATTTAATTTAATCTGATATCTTTTGAGAATTTTAGAACTACTTATGAATATCACTGGAAGACCACAATGCATCTTCCTTAGCCCTTGTGTTTGATAAGGGACACTGGACCTGCATTTTACTGCAGCTCATTTTGGCGCTATGGTGGGGAAAGATTTGCAGATATTCTGGGAATCCAGTACCTCATGTTGTGATACAGACACCTCTGTGTGCAAAAGGAGGCAGCAACCACTGATCAAACCTCGCTGACATGGCAGCTTCCCTCTTGGCAAAGTCTGGCGTGGATTTAACGCTCACTGAAAGGGTTATCAAGCACTGGAACAAGCTGCCCAGGGAAATGGTAGAGTCAGCATCCCTGGAGGTATTTAAAAGATGTGTAGGTGTGGCACTTGTGGACATGGTTTAGCGGTGGACTTGGCAATGCTAGCTTAATGGTTGGACTTGATCTTAGAGATCTTTTCCAATTTAATTCCAACTTGATTCTATGGCTTTCTGAAAAAGAAGACCAGGAGAATCAGGTGTCACAGTGGAGCTATGAGGCATATTTAAGGAACTTCCATGGCCATTGCAACATCCAAATAAAGGAACTGTGCATATTGCAGCCAGTCTGAAATGATGAGAGATTTCTGCTAAAGTTGAGAGACTTCCTCTGCTGCTTTATCAGTCATGGGCCAAATGTACGTCACAGGCACACTGAAAAGAGGCACTATCAGGGTGACAGTCTCTTGCTGTAGAGAAAAAAAAATGGTTCTGGTCTGTCTAACCAGACTGCCCAGGGACTGAAAGGAATTTGGCAGGCCCTTTCACAGCTCTGACAATGATTTGTGGTGCAGTTTGGGGCAGCTTGTCCATCTAATCACTGTATCACAGCTTGCACACACATTAAAGCAAAAAGTATGCGTATTTAGGGCCTGTCTTGCAATTTGTATTTATATAGCATATTGTGAATTAGAAGCATTACATGTCATCTACTGCTGTTGCTACTAAATCAGTAGCAGACTGCTGTAGGTTATGTTGGTTTTAGTTTTGTGTCAATACCTGAAGTTATTTTTGGTTTGAATCTTTTTTTAGGCTGTATATATGCATTTATAGTCCTGCATTATTAATAGTTGCTTAAAATTTTCCACAGCTCTGGATATTTCCTTTCACAGGAAACTACAACAGAAAAGAGATCTGGAATATATTGCTTGCTACAGTAGCATAGTGACAGTAGTACTTCACACAGCAGTGGTAATACTTACCACGGTAGATTCTTCTTGTTTGTACAAGGCAGGCACAGGCAAACAGGGGCACATGTGAGTAACTCCATTAACCTGACAAAAGCTATTAGTTTAGCCGAGGAAGTGGCCCTGAGGATCTTTTTGTATGTTAGAGTTATTGGTTGAGTGGGACACATTCAGTCACTGTGGTTGTACTTACGAGGAGTCAGTTGATCAGGGTTCCATTGGCTTCTTGGTAGTATCTCGAATAAACTGCGAGAACAGTATTCTAAGGAGAAGTTGCTAGCAGAATTCTTTTCCATTCGCTTGTTTTTGAAGTTTTCCTTTATTTATTCAAATGCAGACGACAGCCATCTTCCTGCATCAGCTTCCTGTTGCACCTTCATTTGTCACACTTCTATTAATTCAGTCAAATCACTGACATGGCTTCACATGCATGCCTCAGCCATGGACAACTACTGACCATCATTATCACTGCACATACATGTCAGTCATGATGACTGTGAAACCTCTGATATACTCAGCTATGCATTTTTATGGCTGATGCATAAAATTCCAGACATGTACTTAAATGTGTATCACCATAATTAAGACATAAAAAATGCATGCATTTTGTAAAAAAAGCAGACAGGCTCATTAGCAAGAGAGATTTTTAAAAAAAATCTTAAAAAAAAATTTTTTAAAAAAGTGGTGTTATCCCTGATAACACCATCATTTGTAATCTGTGCTCTGTGCCTAGTTATTGTAGAGAACTAACCACATTTAAGGTTGGAAGCCTTGAAATCCAAGACAATAATGAGTTTATGATATTCTGAAAATGGCACCCATTCTATTTTGGTACACCTGTTATTCTGTACTGTATTTTGTATACACCTGTACTGCTGCTGTTTCTTAGCAATAAGAAATATTGCCAAACTACTGTACTCCTAATGAGTGAGTCTTTTGCCATTCCCTGTGCAGTTGCATTTGAGATTCCAAAATGTAGAGATCTCTCTTGTATTATTTTATAGCTATTTCTTTTTATTTCATATTTATCATTTAAATCCACAAAGTGAGAAACATAATCAGTGCTCTCAACTGGGCAAATGACTAAAGCTCTTTGACTGACATCCAAAATACAGGTAACAGGAGCATTGCAAAGTCAATGTTATTCTAACAGCTGGCTTTCCGTGCAGTGATGCTCTCTGAGCAGCAGGTGTCATGTTTTTCTGAGACCTGCTGCTATGAAACTAAAATGTTTTTATGTCTCACTGTACTCTCTGATAAGGCAAAAGATGTCGATACATAACATTACATATCATTACAACAGCATGGCCCAAAGAGCCAAGTGATTACTAATAGCTTCAATGCAAATCTCCCCTGGCAGAAAATGTCATTTTCACTTCTGACAAACACACTTGATAAATAATTTTTGTTAATTTATCAGCAGACATACAAGCATATGTCAATATTATGATTCTATCCATTTTTTATGTCAAAGAGGTAATTTTAAAGCTATGATTATTTTAAAACTTTCAAGGTTGTTTGGTTTCTAAATGACACTTCTTGTAAGTGCCATTATTTATGGGTAAACAGAACTATAGGCATCAAAAAGAGGGCCTACGCCTCCAGAGTCTAAACTAATTATTGCTCCATCTGGCTTTGGCAGACAGTCAACATGGCTCTCATTTGCACATGATTTGAGCTGTCCTCCCCTAAAATAATGATTAATAGAAGAATTTTAAATATTAATTTGTTTATACTGTAGAAATTGCTTGGTTTGCACTTAGTGCTGCTAGCTGGTGTTGGACTAACTGTGCTTCATTTATTCCAGATAATTGATAAGAGCAAGAGAGACCCCTCTGAAGAAATTGAGATCCTCTTGCGATATGGACAGCATCCAAACATCATTACTCTTAAAGATGTGAGTAGTCTTTGAGAACTTCAGCATTAAATGATTTTCATCTTATGATCAAGCCCACTTATTAGTCCATGTCTGGAAAATTCTTCAGCTGAAGGTCAGAGCTAAAACCAGACCCATTGAAATCAAAGTAAAAAACATGACTCCACAAATTACTGGATAGCATTTGGAAAGTCTGGTCAGGTTATATATTCTCCAGTTACTGTCTAACAGACTGTAAATAAATCCAAAGGGGCACAGTGCTGAAGAATGACAAAATGTGTTTGGTTTTGAAGCACTGTTTAAAAGGAGATCTCCCTAGTTGGGTGTTTCAGTGCACATTGCTGAACCCACACAGTGGTGCTGCTGGACAAGGGATGATCTTTCATGAGTAGCAGCCATTCCCATGCAGCCTGTGGTATGTACTTTGCTAGGAAGAGGAGGGCTCACAAAGTCTCTAGGATTTCCCCCAATAGTGTTTTAGTGCCAGGGAGTATTTACCTTCTACTCAATCAGCCTGAGAAGACTTGAGGGTATTTTTCTTCAGCATTTCATATGCAAAATAGCCTTCACCATGCATACATACAGTAATGAAGTTTAGTCGGAGATGTTTTACTTAGGCTGCCTGTAGTCTCACCTAGGGTTGTCCATACCATGTCAGATCAGAGTTTACAGAACAAAGTCCTGCTCATGTCTGTGGCCAGTATGTTATGGTTTAGACTTTAGAGAAGTAGATAAAAATTTTCTAATTTCCTGCTCTCAAGAAAGTCTCACTTAATTCCTAAGTGTTAAAGCGTATCTCAAAATCTGTGCAAAAAAAGGTTTTGTATCCCTTTCCTGCTCATTATTGCAGTCCAGGTAAAAGATTATGACATGAAAATGGCTGTCTTCCAGTTTAAATGACAAAATGTCTTTTACCCCTTACCCTTGACATTGAAGATAAATATATGTTGCAGCTGATGTCAATGTATTCCCCAGAATTGCAAATAGAAACTATATAATATCATTAGGTGCAGGTCTTGGCCAACAGTATAATACAGTTCTTTAGCTGATCATGACTCAAAGGGAAATATTGATATTTTAAATGGCAAATGTTACCCTGTAGAAGTGTAAAGAGAGAACACTACTGAGAAGGAGGCTTGGGTGAGAGCCAGCAGACATTTGGGGCTGTGGGAAGTGGTGCTGCTTTTAGCAGCTTGATCTGCTCTGCTGGCATGATAGCAGAACAAGAAAGCTACATTTCTGTGTGGACAAATCAGCAAGCTGCTACAGACACAAGCAAAAAGTGATGATTAAGTAATTTTAAAAATTTTCTGTTGTTAAGCGTAATAAGTACATTTCCCACACGTTAGCTGACATTTTCCTCTTGCAACATCTCACACAAGCAAGCCAACACTGTGATTAAAGGACCAACATTTACCAAGTTAATGGGTCCAAAACATATATTTATTCTGTTATGCTTCCAGGTGTATGATGATGGGAAATTCGTGTACCTGGTGATGGAGCTGATGAGGGGAGGTGAGCTCCTGGACCGCATTCTTCGGCAGAAGTGTTTCTCAGAGCGGGAAGCCAGCGCTGTGCTGTGCACCATCACCAGGACTGTGGACTACCTGCACTCTCAGGGCGTAAGCATGACTTTTTTGGCTTAGCTGCATCAACCTTCTTAAACTCCAACTTCTAGAAATAGCAAATAGTTGTGATTTTGATTCTCTGGAATGTAAATGGGGGGGAGCGGGGTTCCCTCTAAAAAATGTTTCTCCATATTTATAATTACTTTTGGTTTGCGAAATAGGGTCATAGTCTTTCTATCCATTTTCCCACTGAGCAGAAAGTATATTGAAGTGGCATTTTTATTCCCACACTACAGTGATTTTGAAGTTCATGTACCATGTTGAGATATCACTTGTTTACTTTTTATCACAGTCGTTATTGCAGTACCTGATCTCTTAACAGAATTTCAAATAGGGTTGCTGAATCAGCAGATAGGTAGAAAATCAAATGCTCAGCTCTCCAAACGAAGTGGCAGTTTGAGCAGCTGATGGGAAAGGCTTCTGACATGCTATTAAAAGCTGGCTTTTAGAGTATAAGCTCTTTATATACAGCAGTTTGAAAATCTCTCCTTTTCTGCATTTCAGGGACAAGCAGTTTGGATGACTAGTCAAATATTTGCTGCTTTTCCTGCTTCATGGTTAAAACAAATGCATTTTTTGCTTCGGCTTTTATGTTTTCATGATAATTTTTCAGTCTTGTTATAACAAATAAAGGCTGTTTTCCCACCACTGAAATGCAGCATATCTGGTAAAATGCACAGTCCTGTGAAGTTGTGTGAATACATTTTGAAATCAGGAAAAAAAAGTCCCTCCTTTCAAGTGTGAGCCACTCACATGTACAGTCACAAGAAGACCTTATACACTTTCCCCCTATGATGTGATTTCTTCTTCAGCTTTTAGCTGAGTACTTCAAGCCATCATGTTCCAGGAGACTGCCACCAAGATGATCATACAACAGCCCACTGTGACTACACTGAGGAAAGTTGTCTCCCCTTAAAGCAGCAGCCTCCATCTTGATAAACCAGCACAGCACAGGCTGTCAAAGATTTTATTTCTCATTTTAACAGACTTTAACCTTTTTTATTTTCCTTCATTTGTCCAAGGCTTTTAAGTAACTTTTTTCCAAAACTTAAATATTTTCAGCATGAGCTCTTGACCTACCTCGACCAGCAGACCAGGAATGGCAGCCAAGCCTGGATGCTCCCTGACCTCCTCTTCTCACTTGTTTCTCACTTCTCTTTCTTGTTAAGGTGGTGCACCGAGATCTCAAACCAAGTAATATCCTCTACATGGATGAGTCAGGAAACCCAGACTCTATCAGGATCTGTGACTTTGGGTTTGCTAAGCAACTGAGAGCGGAGAATGGGCTACTTATGACTCCCTGCTACACGGCCAACTTTGTTGCCCCTGAGGTAGGATCATATTTCAAAGCCTTCAGTAGTGACTGTGTCATAGGAAGCAGTCCTTCCTCCCTCTCTCCCTTTTCCTTGCTGCCTTTACAGGAGGAACAAGGCAGAAACCAGGCTACTGGCACTTGGACAGTCTCTATTACCATAAATTTCCTTTTCCTGGACTTGTCATGGCACTTGTTTTTCTTCTGACAGAAGCTGGTGCCTGTCTTGGACTGACTTACACAATGCTTTGACTCATTACTGGGATAAATATCTTTTTTTCTCTATCTGCTTCTTATCAGACTACTTTCCCTATAGTGCACTGTGTCAGAGCAGGATTAAGGCTTAAGAGGGAAACCTTCATGTCAGGAATAAAATCTTCATGTCAGGTTGCCCAGGGAGGTTGGGGAGTCTCCTTCTCGAGATATCCAAAAGCCATCTGGACACAATCCTGAGTAGCATGTTCTAGAGGACTCTGCTTGAGGTTGGACTGTATGACCTCCAGTGGTTCCTTCCAAACCTTCCATTCTGTGATTCTTTGATAGGACTAAAAAATCCTTGAACAAAATCCTTATCATGCTGAAATCAGTCAGAGTTTTATTGTTGACTTCATTGAGCTAAAGAAACATCTCTCGTCTTGGGCTTTCCTAGTACCAATCCTCCCTGTTATGGGAGATGTAGGAAAGGGCTGCTTTCTAATTTTTACAGAGAGGGAAACAGATGAAGACCAAACAGCTTGTCCCAAGCATAGGGAGAACGTCTGCATCACTGGCAGGTCCTGCTCCTTTCATGTAGGCCTGCGGGAGTGAGCTCGAATCATACAGCAGTTTTAATGGTTTGGGCTTTTCCCTGTGTTTGACTCTTGAGATGTTCATAGCTGCTTCCTTCTGATGAAGGAGCAGCAAGTTAGTTTCCTGGTTAACTGTCCATTTTTTGGAGCGATGAAAATCAGAAATGTTAGTACGTTAGTACACGACTTCAAATGTGTGTCTTCCTCTGCTTGGTATGGTCCATATAAGAAAAACAAAAGACTATTGTCTTTCAATACTACATCTGTCCTATACTATAAAATACCAATGTCTCTCAATTGGTATAATTCAGCAATCTTTTCTTCCCCATAAGTCTCCTTCATCCAATGTTCATCTATATGGTATATAACTGGGAAGAGAAAAATGGGATGATCTTTCCATACAAAGTCCTTTCATGATACCAAAAGTTAATCCCAGGAATCACAGCCTTCCAGCATCAGAAAGAGAATTTGTTACATTAAGACCATTGCCAGGACAGTATAAATTCAAAACAGGTTTATTTCAGCAAAGAAGTCTTCTGTGGCCAAGAAAGATTGGTTTGTTATTTTGTTGCTGTTTGGTTGGGTTTCCATTTTAGAAATGGGAATGAGCTTTTTAAAATTTATCAAAGTACATAAAAAAGTTCTGTAGCACCACAGCCATTCAATTTCTAAACCAAAAAATAATCATGTTTGCAAGATTTGAAGCACTCAGATTTTCTCTGAGATACAATGTGCTTAAAATAGGTGTAGCTATTTTTCGTCATGGGCTATTTTGTGTAGTGTCTAGTCACAAACGTTGCCAGCCCAGTGTATTTTCAGACCAGACTCTTCTGATTCAAACTGAAAACAGAAATCACTGTCCCAGATATTCATGATAAGTAAGACAGGTCCTGCTAATGCAGGAGACTTTGGAGATTAATTGAAACATTACCAGAACTGGCAGAGAGCTTACATAAAGCCTTAAGTGCTTTTATATTTTACCTGTGATATAATACTGCCCTCCAGCCTAGACTTGACTTCTGTGTTCCCCATCTAAGCCCCACTGCAACTAATCTAGGAGGCAGAAAGTCAGTTGAGCTGATGACAAAAAGGACAGTGACAGAAGAAGGACATATTTGCCCACTTGGATCTCCCTGTATTTTGGAAACATTTAGTCTGGGGTTTGATGATAGCAAGAGCAAAGATGAAGGCTACCCGAGAGAAAGAGGCACGCTGCCACCTAGTGCGAGTCATGCTGCATGTGGGGAGGGAAGCGCCGGTCTCTTGCCCTACTGATGCAGTAAGGTCCTTTTGGATTGAGTAAAAATATTTTACTCTGCAGTTTTCCTCCAATATCCATGAAGAACTACTGTTCTGGCATTTGAAAATATGAGATTGTTTGTTAGCTTTTGTACCTGTATGCATTGTCACAGCTGAGAAAAACCTGTATTTATAACCTTGTTAACCCAATAAGTCAAAGCCTCTAAAAATAAAAGGGGGTTGGATAAATATCTGAGCCATTATCAGAATTGGATGAACCCATGGTATCATTATCTCCAGGGTACCCATTCTCTCCACAATGCCCTGCCAGCTTGTGCCTCTATTTCAGATCGCACTGAGTTCTCAAGGTGACCCAAACCCCTTCATTGGTGGCAAATTCTTCAGCATCCATTAACAGCAAGACACCACTGCATGTTTTGCAAAGCTCTTTCCCCGATTGATTTATTTCTAAAACACATGCCTGTTTGTGTTTCATACCATCTCCTGCCTAGATCAAACAGCAGTCTTTTTGGCCAGGGTTTCTCACGCTTTCTTCTGTCTGCTCAGTGTTCTCATTTTAACCACAATTGCACAGACCTGCTGCAGATGTTTTCAAATAGCAGTGACACTAACTGATAACTCACTCCTGTTGTTATCTGTGGGGTGAAGTTGCTGCTGATAAAAAGGTACTTGCCAGCAAAGCTTTCCCTAGGCAGTGGCACAGAGTGCATGCCTTTGTTGTATAGTCCTGCTCCTGCAAACTGAATGATAGCACACAGCGACACCTCTCCATTATTTTGAGGTTGTGTAACCACTTGCTTAATATCCTGCTCCACTAAATAGCATCACTGCCCAGTTTTTCTGTCATTTGCCTTGGACTTGATTGTTCTTGGTTATTGGAGGAAAACAGCAATGAAGTGAAAATGTAACTGTTCAAAACACAACAAGAGTGACTATATGGAAATATAAATGTTGGGTATTCAGTCTCACAGGTGAAGCAAGAAGCAACTGTGTTTGTCAAATAGCAAAGAAGTCTTTCCCATAAAAACTAACATTATAGAGCAGGAATGAATGCAAGAACTAAAGAAATAAAAACAAATATAACAGCCAGAAAGCCTATATATGATGGGCAGGAGAGGCAGAAGCAGGATGTTACCAGCTTTGTCAAGAGGAGGAAATGTGGCTTTTTCTCTGTCTTTGTTGTTGTGGGGGTTTTTTGGTTTGGTTTTATTTTTTCCCAGGTAGCAAATGTTCACTCAGCAGCATACCTGACAGACGGTTGCTTTACTGCTCATCATTTATAAAATCTGTCAAGGCAACTTTTTATCAAACTGTTTTTCCTTAGCAGAGTTTGATCTTTTCTGTGATAGACTTCCGAGTACTTTATTTAAGTAAATCACCCTGGGTAATAAGGCTGCTGTTCAAGAGAAAGACTTGCTGAATTTGTACCTTCCTTTTTCATGTGCTTCGCAAAAAGATGTATGTATCAATCCATCAGAGCAGGACAAAACTCTCCTTCTGTGTCAGACCTGAAAAAAACAGAAGGTAGCTTGCTTTAATGGGCAAGTGGAACAACTGAGGTGGTCCCTGAGCTTGGCTGGTGACTTTGCTTTCACTTGGACCTGCACTGACCCAAATAGGCATTTCTTCTAGTGTGCACTAGCATAAATGAAATCTAGGCTTTACCCTTACTGCTAACATACCATCCTGCATCGATATCGAACCTACTGGTCAGATCTCTGCTGAGTACCATGGGTCTTGTTTTCCCCATGGGAAAAGGGGATCAAGTTTTAGCCTGCTCTCTGTGAAGTCCAGTCTAAATGCATCCACTTTTCTTTATACAGAAGTAAGATAAGAACAAGCCTTTTAGCTTTCTTTACAGTTGTCATGCATCTTTATTAGTTTAGCATTAGATATACTTTAGTGTGCATCCATTTGCTGTATCAAATCCAAACTGAGCTCATTTGGAATACTTATCACTGTCATTCAGCCCTATAGTTGTTGCATCCATAGTGTTCTTGGTAACTTTTATGTTAGGAGGATGTGTTTCATAGGAGGTTATGTTTCAAAGTATTAATGAGCTTTTTTATTATGAAACATTTTCAATAATTGAAATATTGTTCTGCTTTGCTTCATGTTAGACTGTAAGAGAAGTTCACAGAGTCTCCAACAAACTACACTCATCTCTCTTACTGTGGAGGGGACAGATGTGCTTGGTTTGAACACTAACCAGCTCATTCCAGCCTGGGCTTCACCTTTCTCAATGCCACTACTGGACATTTTGATCCCATGGCAGCCACGTGTTCAAAACAGATCTGTGGTTAAGCCCTGGAAATGACAGCAGATACAACCACTAATCAGTGCTTTTTGTAGATCAGAAGCTAAAAGTCAAGGAATGCAGATTAAACTATTTTCATCTCTCCCTTTCCTTCACATAGGTCCTTAAACGCCAAGGTTATGATGCAGCCTGTGACATTTGGAGCTTGGGGATCCTACTGTACACCATGTTGGCAGGGTGAGTGATGAGGTTCTCCTAGAACAGTAATCTCCAGTGAACTCAGCAGTTCAGCACTAATTAAGTCTGAAAGGAGTCACAGATAGAGACAGCAAACTGTCTGGCCTCCTTGGAGCAATGTGTTTGGTTGTGTGAAGCAAGAAAATAGATGTCAAGACCTAGAGTTAGAATATGTTTTTCCTAGAATGCATAAATACTTTGACACTTGACAAATTGTTTAGGGTTTTAACAGACAGTGCCTGTAAGTGCCTGTAAGTATGCACTGAGACCTAGACTCCTAAAGGGTTCACTCACCCCTTTAAGCAGTGTGAAAGTTTTACATTAGAAGAGGTCCATAGGACTATGGAGAGCCACATCATGTTCACCTTATCCATGGAAGGATGTTAATTTCTTCTATTAATACATGTATTCTCTTCAGCTTTATTTTTCTTCTACTGTTACTGTTATTGAGGTATCTGAGCACCTTAAAAAGCTCAAAAAGATCCCCACCCAAACATAGTTTTCGGATGCTATTTGAGAAGGACAGAAGGTAAATGAACGGATCAGCAAGAATAGCAACAGGCAGCAGGAACTTTTGCCTACCAATTAGCCTACCAATGTGTTGGCTAATTTTAAATATCAATACAAGAAAATTCAGAGAAAGAGACAGATTGAAATAAGTAGTGAAGAATAGGCATAGGATGTGCAAACCCAATCTAGAGTTATTTCTTGGAGTATGGTATGTGAACATTTATCATACCTAAATGCAGCTTGAAACATTTCAGTGGCCTCTCTAAGCTGTTTAATCTGCTTCATGATCATTCAGGTGTGGAAAGAAACTTGGATTCATTCCTAGATTTTATACAGAAAACAAAGAATTGCACTCTACTTTTCTGTTATTTGCCTCGTGGATTATAGGAAAGGTGACAGGAGTCTCTATCTCATCTGTTTTGCTCCTGAGTAAAATGTGTTCAACTTAGGCTGAAATATATTGTGACTTTCTGGGGAAGTCTCCCAGTCTGCTAAGATCTCTGAGAACCTGTTTCTATTTGGCTAATAGTACAGATTTGCAGTGATACACAGACAGAATTAGAAAAATAAAATCAAGAGAGTCACATTTTTTCAGTTGATTATATTCCAAATGCTTCCTCATGTGGGGAAAAAATCCAAATACATTTGAATCAGAAATACAAATTGCACAACTTAGTGGATATTAAATTTACCAATGGGTGCTATTAACTTATACCTCACTTTTTCTGCCCGTACAAGAGAAAATAAGAGTAATACAAAAAGTTGAGAAATGCTGACTTTTTAGGTGCCAACCCTGCATTTATGGATAATCTTGTTCTTCCTCACCGGAGGAGATTAGTAGGACCTGACTATTATTTGCACCTGGATTTTATTCTTCTCCCATCATCGCTGTGAGCAGAAAGGGCTGAGACAGCCAGAACTAGAGGATAGGCCTGGGATCCTGTTGATGGAGCTAGTGACAGACCCCAGAGTTTTTGCCAGTCCTTAACTCTTACTGTATCCCTCCTGATAGTTATAGGTAGGAATAACATTACATATATCCTTGGGCTGAACTTCTGTGAAATCTAAAATGTTTGTGAAAATGAGAAAACACAATGTGAGGAATTGAATTTGCTACTAGAAACCAAGTAGGATAGGAAGCTGTGGCCAAAGCAACCATTTAGCTATCTAAAAACCCTCTGTCAAGTTGTCAGAAGAGAAAAGATGGAAGGAGAAGTATAAAAATCCCAAATTCTTCTAAACCTGCGCAGCTCTTCAAGATTGCAGAGTAAAACTTGACCTGGTAGATTTTAATCAGCTGCAAAAACCTTATCTCTTGTCACTTTCTGAAGACAAAAAGTGTACCCTCTGCATGAGACACTGATTTTGTAAAGCTGGGTTCATCTTACTAGTCATTTCTGACTGTCTGGATCAGGAAGTAACCGATTGCAGATAATTTCTTTTGCCCAACATTTAATGTTCTTTTGAACATTAAAGGTTAACAAAGCCTTACAAAATAGATTAGAAATTTTCTTTTCCTTTTTTTTTCTGTTCCAGATCTTATTTTTTTTCCTTTATAATTTTTGTCCTTTCTTGCCATTATCAAGGTACTGGTATTGGAGATAAAGCAGAGTTAAAGCAAGAAGTAAAAACATGTCTGTTTTTACAAAGAATATTTAATTCCTAAAAAATGAGAACAGAATAAAAATTGAGTCAGTCTTTTCCCTCTACAGAACAATATAAGGAACCACCACCCTTTGAGTGAAAATGAAGCCACAATGTCTGTGGTCCATTCTGGAAACAAATTCCTGTTGTAATCACTGGCAGTTAGCACTAGAACCTACAAATCATAATCATGAACCTGCAAATTACATTGTATTTCTCTCTCTCTCTCTCTCTCTCTGGTTGTTTCTTGTTGGTTTGTTTTGTTTTTTTTTAATAGATTCACTCCTTTTGCAAATGGACCAGATGACACCCCAGAGGAGATTCTGGCCAGGATTGGCAGTGGCAAATATGCTCTTACAGGAGGAAACTGGGATTCAGTATCTGATACTGCAAAGGTCAGTGAACCCTTTCTGAGATTTTCTCTTGAGATTTAAGTAGCTCAGAGCTCTGTTTTGGTGCAACTGCACTTTTAAAACAAGTGAAGATTTGTTAATGCCACAAATGTATGGTCTATACATGAATCACCTTTTTGCTGCTCAAAGTTAACCAGGAGCAGGAAGTTTACAAACTAGCATTTTTAATTCCTGTACAGTTCACAGTTTAGGATAGGTGGGAAAGCTAGCAAGCTTGCAGTTGCCTGATGTTAATCAGAAACTTTGACAGGAGATTTCAGTTTTAGCAACTGGTAGTATCCAATGGAAGAACATTGATACATCCCACCACAAAACTGCAAGCAATCCTAATAACATGTTAATCTTGCTACCAACACCTATAAGCCTCACAATGTATTTTTTATCAGATGTTCAGTTTTGAAATTCAAATGTTCAGATGCTGTACAACTGACCTAATTGAATTTTAGCTGCCTGAATGTTAGATTTCTATTCTAAGCTTCTCTTGCTTTGAGGTCAGGGAGAAGATGCCTCCAGATGGCATGCTCTCCAGGTGGAGTTCACCACTCCTATGAAGTCACCAGTAATTAACATTCAGTCAATAAGCTGAATTATCTTTTGACTGTATTATCAGCTGAGAGTTGAACATTACAGTTGAAAATTTTGAAGATCAAGACCTGACACTTAAAGAATATAAAGCCTATCTAAAGTGCATCATTCTCTCCATTGGACATGCTAGTGATGACACTGTCACCAGAAAGATCTTGGTAAAACCTGCACTGCTGTTAATTACTTTTTCCCTTGTACTGTTTTCTTCCTTTCAAACCCAGGACATTGTGTCTAAGATGCTTCACGTAGACCCTCATCAGCGCCTCACAGCAGTCCAAGTCCTAAGACATCCATGGATAGTGAACAGGGAGTATCTATCTCAAAACCAACTCAGCAGACAGGATGTTCACCTAGTGAAGGTACTTCCTACACCCTTGCCTCTTCCTTCCTTGCAGAATGAGCTGTAATTTGTGTAAATATTCTGGAAAGCGATAGAGGAGTTGGGAAGATTATTGCCAGAGAGGCCAAATTTAATATGGCACTGTATTAACAGCAAAGATTTTTGACCTGTCACCTGCTCAATATTTTTAACTTCAAGCTGCATCGTAATAACCTGGTGGCATTCTATGCGTATACTGCCATTCACCACTTTTGAATCAGAGATACCCCAGCTGTCTGCCAGCCTAAAAGGTGTTACCATTTCATGGAAACTGTGCATGCATGACAGTTTTTTCAGGAGACAGAATAGGGGAAGGGAAAATCATCAAAGAACTGAATTTCAGCCCAATGTTTTATCTTTCTCTATTTTACAGGGTGCAATGGCAGCCACTTACTTTGCTTTAAACCGAGCACCTCAGGCACCAAGGCTGGAGCCTGTATTGTCCTCCAATCTGGCTCAGCGGCGAGGCATGAAAAGACTTACCTCTACCAGGTTGTAGCAGTACCCTCAAAACACCTCTTTGAAAACCCACAGTTTATTATTTAAAGTTGAATTGAGAAATTCAATTTTACTTGGCTAGCAGACCTTTTTTGGACAACCTGCACATGAAATCGCCAAAACTAGCAGAAGCCCATGTAAGGCAAATTCTCCTTTAGTACATCATTTCTTTTACATTCCAGCCCAGTATAACAACTTCACAAAGATGTGCCAATTTTTCCAGTAGCTCTGTTTCTTTACTGAGATAAAGCCAAATAAAGTAGGTGTGCTCCATCCCTTCCACTCTAGGAAAGCTATTTTTGAGTCCTTAAGATGTTCCATGGGAGCAGTGCTTATTTTGTTTCTCAAGAAAAGCACTTTTTGCTATGAAGAACGCAGTCAGGTATGAATGCTGTTCCAGCATGTGTCATGATGAAGTGACTTGGCTGGTCACCAGTAGACATCTACTGATCTCCACTCACCCCGGGAAGAGTGAAGGCTGCAGAGACACATGAATAATACCTTATTTGAAACAAGTGCTATACAACAACAAGGACAGAGAGCTGTTGGTGTTGAAAATACCTTCTGATTTTGAGGAATCTTTTGCACTTTGACCCTGCCTTCTCTGGAACAAAGCCAGCACCTCTCAAGGCATGTGCGCCACCAGCCCTGACTTACTCAAAGGTCTCCGAAAGCAGAAAACCTCTTAGAAACTTGGTCTTCTGAGGAAATTATTGGGTCTTATGAGACTGTGGGAAAGCATTCATGTAAAGCAGTGTGGATCAGGCAAGAAAAAGGTGTCTGCTCTTGACCAGTAAGCAGGTCTGGGAGGACTAGGTGAGGGGTCTGGAGAACTGAGCAAGAGGCAGGGTGGGTGACTGAGGACAGTAGGCAAAAAGACCCATGGCAGCATGGTGGAGAGTACTGGCAAAGGCAACTAGCATGCAACTGGTTGGGGGGCAAACTGGGACTCCCTTTCAAAGCAAGGGACAGTCCCTCTTCACTGACCGGTACAGAAGAGGGTGGGTGGCTGGGCTGGCCAGGGGCCAGGGGGTCAGTGCAGCCATCCTCCCACCTAGTCTGCTCACCGAAAGCAGTTCTGGCAGGCCATAGTGCCACCCTGGAGCGAGCAAGGCCATTTCCAGTCATTGCTCCCTGCCCTTCCCTGGCTATTCACTCAAATCTGCCCCTGTCACCCAATATTTCATGTCCCTACCTGGCTGTTCTGCTCTAGCAGAGCAAAACTCCCCATGCCATGTGTGTGCAGAGAGTACCACTTCTGAAGAGTTCAGCTAACTCTGTTACAAGCTTTAATAATAATAAATTATTAGGAGAAACGGGAGGATGCTCTGCTTTTATATTTATATGAATATGTACATGTGTATTTATATACATATAAAACAAAAGTTCTGTACCCTAATACCTGGATTTTCCAGGTGCAGGGAAAGAGAGCTTTTGTTGAAATGGTCTCAGCAAAATCGACCTTTTTTCTCTTTCCCTGGTTTCAAAGAAAGTGAGCAAGGTTTGTGGTGCTGGATGTGAACTATTTTTTTATTCTTTTTCTTACCCATCTTGGCTTATGGTGATCACAAGCTGACCAGGATTCTTCTTTGTACTGCTTTTGTTAATTTTTATTTTCTGAGTGAATTTTGTCACCTCAGATGCTTTGTGGGAAAAGCTACTGTGCTATGTTGGCTTTTTTTCTGTTGTGACAGGGGAAAAAAAATGTGAACATGGAGCTTCATATGCTAGATATGGTAATTTTTCCTTGCTAGGTAGTTTGTACATCTCAGTGCTGAACTGGAATTACCAGATCACTGCCTCAGAGTGTCCAAGGGAACAAGGAGTTTCATTTGCTATAACAATATGGTTCCTAAAACTAGCTCTGTTTCAATGTTGACCTGAAGTTAGTTTGTTTGCATTAGTCTATTTTTAAATTTAAATTTATTCTTAATAATTTAAACCGATATTTAATGTTCGGGTTTATGTGCTGTGCACAGAGGACAGCTGCAAAGCAGCTGTCTTTGAAGCCCTTCTCTTTTCTAAAATAAACAATGCTGTGAAACTCCACACAGTGGCTGAATCGGCTGGGACTGATGAGTGCAAACACACAGGTGTGTGTCTATGGTTATATATGCAGCAGCCCACATTCTCTCCTGTGGCTAAGCTGTGCTCAGAACTGGTTTTTTGCCACCTCTATAATTTTTTGCTTGTTAGAAGTTAAGTCTCACGTATTTCTGCTAGCAGTACACTGTGAGGATATCCACAAACAGGGATATCCTGGCTGATGCAGAATAGCTCTGACCAAGCCTTGTTTCCCTCAAAGCGACTTCTGCCTTGGAAGAAGGCAAGGTGGGCACAAAGATGCAAAGGGCAACCTGGAGTGAGGGCTGGGTTTTCTTGGGTCCCAGCTGGTATGTGCTGTTTCAACAAAATATATTTTTAATAGTCAGTGTAATTGTCTTGCATATGACATACAAAGAGTGTTGTAAAGATTTTTGTCTCCCTGTAAGATTTCCTGGTCATCTTTCATTGCTTCTTCTTGCAACCATTGGAAACAGTCTTAGTTCCCTGTTGTTATACTTGGTCTTAATTCTTAGCATTTTTTCCAACTGAATATTATTGGAGGCCAAACTTACAGGATGATGCTCTTCCCAAAGTTGGATCACCCCTTAAGCCATGGATGCCACAAGGGCTTCTTATGCTGCTGGTCCACTGAACTTCTGGCAGCATATGCAAGTGCTGACACTAAAAAAAGGCAGGTAGCCACTTCCTCTTGACCTCAGATGCTCATATGTCCTTTCACACCTCCCTTATCCAGTTCACCATGGGGCAAAACAAACATTTGTGCATCAGAACAAATGCCTGGGGACAGCAGGAAGGCAACAACATCTCTTTTGCCAACAGCACTGTCAACACATTGGAATGGCTACAAGTTCAGTGTCACCTCTGTTATTCTGAGTTATGCTGAGCAGAGCCCAGGTGTGGCTCAGAGTCAGGGCGATAAATGGTGGGCGCAAAGAGAGAGGACAAGTCCAAGCTTCTGAAAATTGTCCACAAGCTCATATAAACTCCCTGTAACCAGAAGATGTAGGGCCACAGATGGTAGGCCATGGGGAAGTAATGTTGACTGGATGTATTTTTGCCACCAGTGATCTCATAAAGAGAACAGAAAAAAATCCAGGAGTTTGTTTTTAAATCATCTGTTTTTACAGAGAAATTCTTGATTTTGTACAGTGCTACAGCTTTCTCAATCCCTAGAATTAAGGCACTCAAACATGGAAGATGCAGCAGATTACTGTAGCAGAAAATATATCTTAGCTTTCACTGGAAAAATATTTTCAGGCACGTGTTCTGAAGCTCTGTCTTCGGATGTGTGTATCAGAAATGCCAAAGCAAATATTTAGAAGCAAAGTTCTCTTGTTGAACATCTTCAGGTGGCACCCTTAAACAAGAATCATGTGAGCTCCACATTCAGATATCTGAATCCTAAAAGACAGGCAAGCAGCACAATCAGGACAACCACCTCAGATGTTCCTTACATTAAAATAAAAAGATCTAAAATAACATTAGTAAGATGCTTTAGTATAGTTCATTAAAAAAAAAAAAAAGGAAACTGTGCAAGCCCATTGTCTTTTCCTCTTTTGAAGAATACTTCATTTTCCTTTAGAAGTGTGTATTCTGACCTCCTAGCTGACCCTGCTTCTGAAATCCTGTGTTGCCCCAACACATTGCAGCTAAGCTGCTTCTGGTACCTCAGTTCCTGTGTGAACACAGTCCCACATTCCTCCCTCCATGTCTGCCCACAACAGACGCAAGCAACAATTGCACACACTCTCCTATTCTGAAGGTTAGCAAAAGTGTGAGAGTTTAAACTCAGAAGATAAAGTGAAGTTAAAGGTAAGGTTCTCACTGTGTACAGACCTAAAACTCTCAGTGTTTAGGGGAAGGGTGGTTTAAAGTCTGTGCAGAACAAGAACGTTACAGAGTAAATAAACTCACAGTAATTCATAGAGCCAAATTTTAGCTAAAATCTCTTAATAGGTTTTTGTGAGCCTAGACCTTCCATTTCCAGGTGCAACTAGATGACAACATATGCATGTCAGCCAGGTAACAAAGGCATCTGATCATGCATGTCATCACAAGGCTTGCACATGGAAATGTTTTGCAGCCCAAAGTTTGGAGTCTAAAAGTAAGAATTTGATCTTTTTCATCATCCTGTATTGTGTAAACCATGATGTTCAGTGTTAAACTGTACAACCGCTACTTCTTGCTTTGGTGTGCATAGTTACGGAGTCAGTTTGTGCTCCATTATGTTTTCTAAATGGATGTTATGGATATAGTTTTCAGAGACACTGTAGCCTGAAAAGAAAATGAGGCAAATTAATGCCCTTTTTGATAAAGGCAAATTTTGAAAGGAGAGACTGGAAAAATGCATTTGAAGTGCAGAACATAAAAACCAGTTGCTAAAAGATTTTTTCTGATTTCTTACTCATAGCCAAATCTTGCCTCCTTCACTCCTGTGTTAGTTCCTTAATCCATATGCACCTTCAGGGAATCAAGGGGAACAGCTCAGAGTAGGGTCCTCTTTCCTGTTGTAGTGGTGGAGTCTTGGCCATTAGATGACGATGTATGTAAGGGATTTACTTGGATAGTATTAAATGATTTTGACTAAATACGAACCATGATCTAGCACTTTGTTTACAGGCTCCATATTCATGTTTACAAGTTATGATTTCTGAGGCTCACGCTTTTTAAGTTTCCTGTATGAAAAGGGCAGCCAGTGTACAGATATTTATTATGTTTACCAGCGTTTCTGAATAGATTTTTTTTATAGTACATGGTTTTATGAAGTGTAATATTTTTATAGCAGAATGATGATCTTTGGACTTTCTATATTGTTACCTACAGTTGTTTGCAAACAAGCTCTTCCCTCCCTTTTTTCTGTGCACTGTATCTCATGTTGCTGCTGCTACTGTTGCTGGCCTCAGCTGCTGCTGCCCCACTGTGACGTGGGCTGATGGTATTGTGAAAGTGTGCAAACTAACTTCAAAGAGTTGTGATTGTGCTGAAGGGCTGGCTGCATGCTGGGTTCCTCCTGGCAGGAGGGATGGGGAGCTGTACCCTACCAGAGCAAGAGTTTCCTGTGGATGGCCCCCAAGGAGAAACCTCAGTGCTCACCTTTGTATTCTGCCATTTTGGCTTGGCATGCCCATCCTTTCCTTTCTTTATAAAGAAATAAAAAGAAAAGAAAAAAAAAAAGGATCCTGCTCATTTTTGCGTAATTTTTTCCAGACCCCAAGCACTGGCCTTGTTTGAATGCCATGTGTTGGTCACAGTAAAAGCACAGTTCTTTATTCGAATTATACCTGGAGCTGTGATTTCTGTACAGCCTGAACACTCGAACCTCTGCTTTGGGAAGCAACAAGTAAGTCTTTAACCCCTCATCAGTCAGACAGTTCACCCACAAGACAAATTTAGGATTTCAGTGCCAGACAAATGTGCCTCACAAGCTGCCTAACATGAATTTCCCTTGCCCCTTTGAGATCTTCCAAGGTACCGTTCCTCTGCAAACTGCCAGTCACTGGCAAGCAGCCTTCATAGCCTTTTCTGCTTGTTGAACTTGTTAGTGACCACAAAAGCAAAATCAACCTCTGCTACTTTAAAGGATTGGTTCTGCTTCCCTGGCATTGCTACATGTGAGCCTACACACAATTACACTGGCCTTCACGCCTGGATTTTCATCAGACCCAGCAGCATCACAGAGGTGGCAAGTCTGGCTCAGGCTCCACGCCGGAACAGCATATGGTACCAGATACTGAGAAACAGCATGTGATTCAGGTTCAAGCAAGCATAACTGAGGAAACTTGGACATGTATGTTATTCGTAGGATTTCTGCTCTGACCACAGGTAGCCTCATGCCTCTGTTCTCCTGTCAGCTGATCCTGTCCTACTCCCACTTCTTCCTTTCTTTCTTCTGTCATAAAAGAAACAACCCTTCCTGCTCCTTTAGTCCTCATGTTCCTTCACCACAGGGTCATTCATGTCCCTACCAATTCTCTGCCTCTGCACTCCAGTGCCTACCATGAACTATTCCTCTCTTCCCTTACCAACCTTCTGTCTCACAGGTCCATCCTGTGGGTTTTATAGCCTCTTCTGGTGGACAGGCCAGTGACTTCTGTACACCTGTCTTTATGAGCCTAGTGGTTTAAAAAGGAAGGTTCTCTGGAGAACCATAATCATATACAGGAACATCCAAATTGAAAAGCTGAAGAGGAAAAAAAAACAACAGGCTTCCTCTTCCCTCCTCTCTTCTAATTCCTCTTTTAACATGACCATGATCAAGAATGAGACAAGTTCAGCCACTCTTGGAAAATACATAACTTTTCAGAGGACCTGGTTAGGAAGCCTTGGTGTATGCTGGGCCCTGGGCAGGCAGATACAAGTCTTTCCCTCCAACCCTAGAAAATGAATTAAATGAGATGTATAAGAAAAAGGAGGTTTTCCAGAATATGCTCGAGTTCGCCATCAAGACACAGCCCTTTTAGGAAATCCACATTGGCACCATCTGACGTCTCTCGCTTACTGAGAAGTAACCATGTTTTTCTCCCTGAATGGAGAAAAATACATTTGCTTAAAAAAAAAAAAAAAGTAGTAAAGAACTCTCCTACCCCTTGTAATTTTGCTCTTTAGTCAACATTAATTTCCTTCCTGTGTATTTCTCCTGCTCGATCCCATTCCAGTTCACCTTCCCTCAAAGGCAGGGAGGCCCTGCAGAGAGACCTTGACAAATTAGAGGACTGGGCAATCACCAACCACATAAAGTTCAACAAGGGAAAGCGCTGGATCCTGCATCTGGGACAGAGCAACCCTGAATGTTTGTACAGACTGGGGAATGAGATGCTGGAAAGCAGCACCCCACAAAGGGACCTAGGGGTCCTGGTCGATAGCAAGTATGAGTCAGCAGTGCCCTGGCAGCCAGGAGGACCAACCGTGTCCTGGGGGTCATCAGGCAAAGCATCGCCAGCCAGTTGAGGGAGGGGGTTGTTCTGCTCTGCTCTGCACTGGTGTGGCCTCATCTTGAATATTGTGTGCAGTTTTGGTCACCACAATATGGGAAAGATATTAAGATATTAGAGAGTGTCCAAAGGAGGACAATGAGGATGGGCCTTGAGGGGAAACTTTATGAGGAGCTGCTGAGGTCACTTGGTCTGTTCAGCCTGGAAGAGACTGAGGGGAGACCTCATTGCAGTCTACAACTTCCTCATGAGGGGAATCAGAGGAGCAGACACTGATCTCTTCTCTGTGGTGACCAGTGACAAGACCCGAGGGAATGGCCTGAAGTTGTGTCAGGGGAGGTTTAGGTTGGATATTAGAAAAAGGTTCTTCACCCAGAGGATGGCTCGGTACTGGAACAGGCTCCCCAGGGAAGTGGTCACAGCACCAAGTCTGACAGAGTTCAAGAAAAGAGTTCAAGAAACTTTTGGATGCTTCACCCCCTTTTCATGTCTCACTTGTTGTGTACCATGAAAATTGTCCTGAGGCTCAGAAAGTCTTATTATATGTCTGAATACCATCTTGTTCAAGGGCCGCGTAACTGATGGCTGAGCACCCTGAGCACTACAGCAAGGCAAATAATAGGCAGTAACAATAACAGCTAATGTCTGAAGATCACAAGAAGCAGAGATTTTGCATTAAAAGCTATGAAGAAGAGCTGAAGACAAGGATTTTAGGCTGTGTCCAGCCTTGAGAATCCCTTCTTCCATCTTTCATCCAGACAGTAGGAGTATTTTTAACAGCCAGTGCACTGTAGTTATCTATTAGTAACCTGAATAACTGTGTCCATTCATCTAGATGGACTGGAGCTCTCACTGTTTTCTAAACAACCAAAGCTGGCCTGAGATCAATTCCATTTTTTGTTGAGGAAATTAGTTTATTAAGAGGTTGGTGACTCAACACCTGTGGTAAGCCTGTTGTTTTGGCTTGGCACACTCCTGCCTAATTCTTTCTGACCTTCAGGTTCTGTGGTCACTGGTAAAAATAGCTGCAGTTGGAAAGCCTAACACTTTCCCTACTAGAATTTTGCAGCTTCAGTTTTAGTGATGGTCTTCTTGCTAAGGCATGCAAATGAAGACTCGGTGATTTCCATTGCATTTACCCTGACTTTCTAATTGTCACAATTTTTTGTGAGAATTGTCTGGATTCCTGTCTCTATTGTAAACTCTGTTATAATCAGTTATTTGTTTTACGCATCCATTTACTTATTTCACCTGTTGGTACTAAAACAATTTGACCTTTACGAACATCAGCTGTTACAATGGAGCCTTAAACCTGGAGAACAGAAAAAGCTGCACTTCAGGGAGGTGACAAGAGGGATTCATCAACTTTTAGAAACTCTTGGCAGTGCTATCTTTTGCTATTTGGACGTCTGGTCTCTCTTTAACCACCAATCTGCTGCCATCAGTTACGGTCTGAGTAGAGCTGCACATCAGCTACGGGCTGCAGTCTTTCTATTGGGTCTGTGGACTAATACATGCCGGTAAAAACTCTGTCCAGGAATGAACAACATGTTTCTCAGTGTGTGACTGGGTGGGGATAAAGTGGAATACACAGCTGAGATGTATGCGTGCTTTTGGCCTAGACAAAAGAAGGGCACGTTCAGCTGAGCAAAAATGAGAATTATTTATTGTGCAATTCAGATGCAAATTTGTTATTACTCTCCCAAGTCCAGGAATGACAGCAACCTTCTGAGAAGCTCATGTCAGATATCCAACACACACATTCACACAACTTGCACAATCGCCAGTTCTAAGAAGTCTCCCAGGTGAGTCCGTGTTCTCCCACCATTAGATGGTCTGTGAGGAAAAATACAGTTTTGGCATTTGAACCACTGTGAGTTGTGTGGTGTATGTTCACTATCACATGCAAAAATTGTTGCTCAGCGACCTTTAAACTTTGTATGTTTTTCTATTGTTTGTAGCCATTCAAGTCAAAAATACCCTCATAGTCATGCAGTCAACATCTAAAAGCTCAGTCTAAAACAGTCTGGGTGACTCCCTCAGACACAGATTTCTTCCAAATTATGTTTCATTAAGTTAAATGCCTAAATAAGGAAGATCCATTGCCATTGGTCATATCCTATGCTTAAATGCCAATGCTTCAGTCTTCTTAAAACTTTCAGTCAATATCATCAACAAGCACTTGATGCTCTTAAAAATTGATCTGTAAGAATTACAAGGAAAACCTTACCAATCTAACTGGAAGCTTCATCCCTGGCTTCTAAAGCAAAGAAGAAGAGATTAGGCAGTATATGTTAAAGGTAAGAAAAATGTCATGCTAACCCTACTGTTCAGGCATCAAGTGTCATTTTATAAATGCACCAACTGATATAAACTTAATACATTTAAAAGGACCAAAGTTTGGATGCAGGAAAAAAAACACAAAATGCGTTCCTTGGAGATGATTAAAGACCCTGATCTGTCCGGCTTAGCCTGGAGATGGCTGAGAAGTGACTACCGTCTACAGGAATCTTCACAGGGAAAAAATCCCATGTTCTGGAATAACAGAGACAAACCAGAGCATAAAACCAGGCATATTTCTGGGTGCAAAATTCATACAGCCACAGAATGGAAATGAGGTAGCTGTAGTTTTAGAAGTGAGGCTGGTTATTCACTGGAACAAAATCATCACAAGAGAAAAGAGGTTTGCCATTCCCTTTGTATTGCTTTTAGTAGTACCCCTTAGTGGACAAAAGGTTAGTGAAGAAGCAAGTGGATGACTTCAACAGCCTGCAGTAATCTGGAAAACAATTTAAATGCTATGATGGTCCCTTTTGACCTCAAATATGACATGCACTCATATGGCCCTAGCACAAGCAGTCAACACAGAATGAACAGATCAGGTTTCATAGGATTAATGGATGAACTCCAAAGATTATTTAGAAGATTTTTTAGGCCATAAGCAACTGGAGCAATCTCCTTTCTCTGTCCAAATCTGTATCTCTGCTGTGGTACATGTGGAGAATATTTGCTGTCTTTGACAATATAGAATATCCTTCTGAAATTTTCTGATGTTTAGGACTACCTATGATGTTCATTTAGAACAACCTGTTTCACAGCATTGGCGCAATATGTTTAAAACCTGTAGCAAGACTGAGTAAATGGTGTTCCCAAAAAAATATTAAAAACTCACTGTCTTAAAACCCAAATAAATTATAATAGCATTAGTGGTTCACTAATCCTGTGAACCAGAGGAG